TCTACCGAATGAGAAAAAGAATGAGTACTTCTATGCTTGTTTTATATGAAATATAATTGGACTTTTAGGGGCATCGAAAATCAATGAGAAAAAATCATGTTACATAAGTGATCATTTTTTACAGAGTGTACTTTTACATGCAGACAGTAGGAAGTTCATTCGAAAGCCAGCATCCTGAGGTAACTGAAATACTATATAATTATTTTGCAGACTGACTAATTTTACACTCCTATGTAATTAATCTTTTCGTTACAAAAACGCATTTCAGAATTTCGGTTGACATTTCATGAGTTAGCCCACGTTGTGTATCTGAACGAAGAAACATCTTTTCTGTTAATTCATCTTGGATTATTTCAACTTTATTTGGCAACCACACATCATATCTGGTTGATGAGAAAAAAATACTTGCATTTTGCTGTTAGACCGGTGACCTAAGATTGTGCCTGCTTTATTTGTTCTCCTTTTGTACCCTCTGGACCGCTGATTTCATAAGGTTTCCTACGGCTTCGCATTGCCACTCATACGTTCTCTACTTCGCCTTGCCTTTTTTATATAACACTTTCTAACTGTTCCCTGCGCGAGTACAAACTCAACTGCAGTGTCATTCCACTATTATTTGGGGTTGAGTCAGAATCCGATGAGAGGTTATTGCAGCGAAACATGATTTGAAACATCAAAGTTAGTTTTAATAATACTCTCCACTATCATGGGATGATAGTTTACCGATTAGGTTGCAAGACATGCCATCCCATTCTCCATTGTCTTTTCCGTGACTTTTTCCTGACACAATATTCCTTACGGTTTAAATGTATAGTTTATTGTCCTGAGCTTTCAGACTCGTAAAGGGGTCCATCGTCAGAGGTAGTGGCAGCAACAGAACAAGCGACAGTTATAAGGCATGTAGGCCAATCATCGACTGACGGCGCAGGACTGCAGGTGACTACGCAGGGCTCTGCACGCCGGCGCCAGATCGATTAATCGATTTACTGAGTACTCATCCGAGGCCCAGGCTTCAATTAATTCTCGGCCTGTTTTGTTTCCGGCGTGGGCGGCTATTTTGGTGACTGCAAAGTTAAACTCCTGACCCATTTCGTAGGTGTGGGCGGCCACTTGTGATACTGCGTCTCCTCGTCGTCCAGCCAGCTGGAAACAAAACAGGCCGAGAACTGATTGAAGCCTGGGCCTCGGATTAGAACTCGACAAATCGATTAACTGATCTGACGCCGACGTACAGAGCCCTGCTTAGTCTTCTTCAGTCTTGCGCCTTCAGTCGATAATTGGCCTGCATGCCTAATAACTGTCGCTTGTTCTGTTGCTACCACTACCTCTGACGATGGACTCCTTTACGAGTCGGAAAGCTCAGGACAATAAACGAAGTGTTCCGGTGCTCTCCTCTTCTTCGTCACTTATGCATACACCTGGAACTCGAAATTTCGCCTTCATTCGTGAAACGTATAGTTTGCCTAGAGTCAAGGAAATACTAAATATGATATATGGGCGTTCACAAATCGGATTACGGAACGTGCTCGTTCCGTTGTGTCTTGCGGTTCAAACTGACATTTCCAACGTTGCTGCTGACGATGTCCACCGTGTGGTCCACAACGAGGTAAGGCAGCCTTAGCTACTTGCGCAGCATCTACTGCCCTATCTCCTCCTCCCCCACCTGGGCCCGGTGTCAAGACATGACCAAGAAGACTGGAGGCGAGGGGGGAGGACGCGGCCGAACCCGCGGCTTGGCGCTCCACTCCACTCCGCCTGGTCTACGCAACAAATGACCAGGATTTTAACCAACGGCAGCAACGCCACAACGAGTCAGAAAGACTGGACAGCCGCACTCACGACCTGAATACTAAACAGGAGCGCAAGCGCATCTATCGACAGAGGACCAGGTGTCAGCGAACTGTCAGCGCATACCGAGCTGCGAGGGCCGTGGTTTGCTGATTCTGAAATAGCAGACGCTTAGAAACCTTTAGACCCAGCACACTGACACGTGGCCTTTCATTTGCCTGGGTCGTCACCGTTCAAGGCTGGGCAACGAAACAGTCGTCGCCTGGGAGGCACTACCCACAAGGCTCAAACTGGAATCTCTACTGATTTACACTTGGGGCTTCGTATGACTGACTGGTGACAGCTAATAGGCCAGAAACGGTCATTCCGGTCTCCTTTGTCTTTGTCGGTGCCGTCTCATTAAATAGTCAAAGACAGATGACCCCGCGTGTTGGGCATGTCGAGGAAGATTAAACTGCTACTAGAGGATTTTTAAACGAACTGGAAGACTACAGCGGGAATAAAAGCACGTATGTTAGATTCATTTGAATACTGGGCAAGTTGTCGATCGACCACGCGTAAATAAGGCTAGTTAAGTCCGATGGGGATACGAACCGGTAAGGATCGCTTGTGAACTCCCTCCAGGACACGGGAATAGAAATCCCCATTAGTGAATGTGTCTATATGACAACCTCCAGGGAAATTAGGGTTATGGTCTGGGTTGTGGGTACGGTTACTTTTAGGAAAGACGCGGGAATAGATAACTCAAGGGCACGTGCACTGTAGGGGGGAGTGCGTTTTTTTCTGCGTCCTCCAGGGGGGAGCGTCAACCATGTAATCCTCAGCCAAGAATCCATTAGGATAACTGTTGTCATCAAAAATTGTCAGTCTTCCCGAGACGCGTTGGCTTTCCTCCCAATGGCATTTCTGGGAATGTCATTTCGAATACTAATGTCCATCTTGGCTACACTGAATTTTCACATGCGCAGACAGGTGAAGCATCTTTGACCGAAACAACTACTGTTATGCGGCAGCTTACTGGATAGTTATCGAAAGTTTCTCCCTTAGCGTTATCGAAGACTTCTTACCGTGTTGAAGACGCTTAACGGTGACAGAAGCAAGCAGTTTCGGGGTCTTCTACAACCGAACGCTTTAGCTCGTCCTCGAACGACATTACAATACTGGGCAGCCAGGTAGGGCTTGATTTACTCGTATTGCCGTTGCTGTTGGTAAAGTCTTTCTCGAAGCTCGAAACTGTGCTATGCCAAAGCTGATGACCAAAGCTGATGATGATGTTTGCATTCACCACGATGCCTGTAGACTAAACAATTTTACCTCTTTTTCCCGTGTCTTAAGTGTGCCTCAACTGTCCGCTTTATTTTGACCAACAAAGCAAGTTAATGTGCCTCTAAACTCTGTTAAAGCATGACATTCTGTGTTCATCTGTGCAGTTTTTGCTATTCCCCTCGCATTTCTTTCATGTTACTTCCTTTCCATTTCCTCCATATATATCCTCTGCATGTAACCAATAGGGATTTCAAAGGTACACACCTACTTTCCCTGAAATATACTGATACTGACCGTCTTTTCAATTAAATCACAATCGCGTCTTCGACACACGGCCTAGGGATATGCGACAAATTTCGTATTGGGCCATGAGCTCAGGCGTAGTCTTGTAGACGATATCATAACCTTCGGTCTGTTAGGTTCTGCTTCATTCTATGTAAAATGTAAATACTGTGTCTTGTTCACCTACTATACTCTGCATAAAATTACTACTTAATTGGCATGCAATTTTCTCATTGATTTTCGATGCCCTTGAAAATTTAATTATATTTCATGGAAAACATGCATAAAAATATTCATTCTTTTACCTATTCGGTAGAAAATCACGTCTTCTTCCAACTTCATACTCAAAAGAAAAGTAGAATCCGGTTTTAAAAAACTTTTCTATTTCCCGAATAATTTTGAACCCGACCTGCTGTTACACTTGCATTCAGGGTTTCAAAACTACAAGCTGTATATTTTCCGTGTACGGAAAACCATGCATTTCTCTACGGTGTTAAGAGGAAACCATATGAGGTTCATAAAATAAAGCATTGTATTTGAGCCGTATTTTTAACTTTACATGCGACATTCGTAAATGCAGATACATGACGTTTTACGAATGGCCATTTAACGGTATTAAAAAATCTCACAATTAGGAACTTTTTTAAAACCAAATTCTACTCTTCTTTTGAGTATGAAATTAAAAGAAGACGTGATTTTTTACTGAATAAGTAAAAGAATGAATGTTGTTATGCACGTTTTCCATGAAATGTGATGGAATTTTCAAGGGCATCGAAAATCAATGAGAGAATTGCATGCTACTTAAGTAGTCATTTTTTGCAGAGTATAGATCTTGCATGCAGCCGAAAATAGGTTCTTTCGAAAGCCGACACCCTGAGGTAATTGGATCATTATAGATTTATGCTGCATCTTGATTAGTTTTACAACACTACTTAATTTATCTTTTCGAAACGAGAACGCATTTCGAAATTTTGGTTGACATTTCATGAGTTAGCACATCTACTGTACTTGGTTGCAATTGTCTCCAGTCCCCGTTGCCCCCATGTATAGTCATTACTTATACTCACATCTTTGTAATTGCAAATTGGAATTTATTTGTCCCCGCACAGCATGTATTGCTGAAACTATAAAACTTTGGACAATTAATTTAACCTAACATTTTTTACCGCTTGATTCGAAGGATGTTTTATTTAAAGCACAGAGGCTAACTTTGCTCTGAGCCCTAGTGGTTGGACACATTTTTTGAATAAGAGAGGTTTGTTTCTTTGAAACTAAAAGTACGCATCCGCTCTGACGTCAACTGTGTCTGTCGCGTCAGGCTCTTAACTTGCGAAAGAAAACACGTGATTTTGTAGGTTGTGATTTTTCAGATGTTCTCTCCTTCCCAAGTTAGCAGGGGGGAGGGGGTCTCGACAGCAATATGTCTTTTTCCCCATAATTTCAGAACGTTATTGCCCTGCTCACGGCAGTCGCCTATGGATATGGGTTTGGATGATCTGATGAGTGATCGAAGTCCTACGTTTGACGGACTTGACTTCCTGGTTTTGAATAATTTCCAAAAAATACATTTAGGCAGGCTAACTGGCCTGCGAACGTTTACGATTTTGCCAAGCATAAAATCCAATACATTACTCACAGTCTGCTCTGTTGTGTTTTTATTTCAGATGTTGGGTCAGGAGCCTGGAGGGTTACCGAGTAATCCGAGCCTTCCAACTGACATTTATACGCGTCTGGACTCTGCTCTTAGCCAAGTTGAGATCTTGCTGCGTCAATTTCGTGTTCAGAACAAGCAGAGGTACGTTGTGCTGGCTGCCCACTGTGCGCCCACGTTATCATCCTGTGTCGACTGTAATCCTACTACTTGTGGAGCAACCTTACGTGTGTGCATTTGTTTGTACGCCACATCATGGTCCCACAACTGGCTGTGCTGCAGGTGTACTGGGCCGAAACGGGAGCCAGGTTGGCTCGCGGCACGCGTTTACCAGACAGTGCGGACTTCGCACAGTCCCGTGGCTACTGCTGTAAATGCGCGCGGCCCACCGAAGACGTGGACCTTCACGTCATACCGCGCAGATGCTGTTAAAGGCTGCTATAATTATGAACTAATTCACGCGAATGGTACTAGTCCTACGGACGCTCTGTGGAACACTGGGTTGAAGCCGTCGCTTACGGGGGCCAAACTATCATATGGTAGACACACCTGCAGTCATCCGTCAATCCTTGCGGAAACACATAACAAAGAACAGTTCGCAAAGGCCTTGTGGGTTTAAGTCAGATATTTCATCTATTCGCATTCCAGGGATAATAATCGTAGGGTGGTACCGTAAAATAGGTTAAACTGAAGTTCTGGCAAAATGCCCTTGTAGAGAATAAGGAAGTCACTTTTGCGTCAAAAATTGTGACGCAGTACGTTTTAGATCTATGCTCCCTTCCTAATAATTGATGCTATTTATAAATTAGGAGTCAGACCTCAGCTGCCACTGTAAAAGAAGATTTTGTGAGCTTCACTAGCCTCAGGGGCTCCAACTCACTGTCGGTGTGTCATGTGGTCTGAATCAGCAGTGTATGCCGATCATCCCAAACGGTTAGTTAAACGATTCTACTGTGCATAAGGGAAAGTAGGTCTTTGTGAAAACTCGAAATGACACGGGGAGCCAGTTATTTCAGTCCCGAAGGCGTTTATTCATAATGGACGACTCCCCCTCGATGATTGAAAATGCTCCACCCCTTCGTCCGTACAGTACCGCAATATACGCTGAAAGGAATATCCACAAAGACAAAGGGAACTTGAATGGGCATTTCCGGTTTGTTAGCCGTCACCAGTAAGTCATACCTAATCCCAGCCTTAAGACAAAACCGAAATGGCATGTCCGCTAACCCGAAAGGTGAACGTAATGTAATTAATATTCCCGATCGCAATCGGCCCTGTGTCTCAATGGTAGTGTTCGACGCAATGACCAAAGATCCGGGCTTAAAACCCCAGGTACTCCAGAAACCGAGGTTGGGCCTGCCTGGCTGTTGACAAGTTGCATGCCCGAAACTGCCATTACAGTCCCCCTTGTTGAAGAAGGAGACACGATCGCCGGGACAAGAGCTTTATTAGCCTGACGTTTCGGATTCCTACTCGAATCCATAATCAGAGACAAAAAAAACAGAAACGGGTGGTTGTTGCAAAAGGGGCCGCGGTATTTATAGGATGCAGTAGCCATGCTACCGTTACCTATGAACTTTTACGGCTCCCCCCTTCATCCGAGATCGTCGCACGTGGTGTGATCACTGCTTGATGACCGACATTCGAGTCGATAATTACCGCAATTTCATCACGTGCGTTGGATGTTGGCGTGATGATTGCTCGGCCATCTGACGCACCGACCCCGGTGTTGGGAAAAGTGTTCACCTCTGCGCTCCCCGCATGGCTTGTTACTCCGCCTAGTCGAAATTTTAGCACGCAGTATGGAGTGGGAAGATCGTTGCACTTGTTGATGGACTGGGGGCCAGTAAACCATAATTCCAGTAGCTCCCGGCTCACGCGGTTGTCACCTCTTGCGAGAATTTCGGCCTCATCGAATTGGAATGTGTGGCCGGATCTCGTCGAATGAGCCGAATGAGTCGAATGGCGTCATTTCTGCGCACCGCTGCCGCGTGTTCGGCCATTATCGTTCGGAGCTGTCTTCCGGTTTCTCCGACGTAGTTGCTTTGTCCGCAACTGCACCAGATCCGATAAACGACTCCAGACGTTTCTAGCCGTGGCAGTGGGTCTTTCGGTTTCATGACCAGACGCCTGATGGTTGCCTCCGGTCTGTGTGCCACTCCAACCCCAAGTGGTGCGAGAAGGCCGCCGACAGCTTCCGAAACGTTCTTGACATGCGGAAGTGCCCGCCAAGATTTGGTGTCCGTGCGGTTAGGCCTCTCGTCCCTTTTGCGTATGCAGTGGTTGACGAAGTTGCGCGGGTAGCCATTGGCTTTGAAGACCCGTCGGAGGTATTGTAGTTCGGCAATTTTGTCTCCTTGTCTTTGTTGGGACTCCTTACAGCATATAATCCTTTTTGCTATGCGACCATCATCAATTCCAACACAATACAGCGAAATCCTTATCTCTAAATTTACCCAGAAAGTGGGGCGTGCAATCTATGATAAATGCTAGAGGGACGCTCACTGATCGTTTTATGGAACTTGCTCGTCCCGTTCTGCCTTACAGGCTCTCCCTCGAGCCCAACCAGCAGCCGCACAGTGGCGCATTATATAGGCAGTATGTTATTACCGACTGGAATGGCCATTTCTGGCTTATTAGCCGTCGGCCATACCCAACCCCGAAGTGTGGAACACCCGAGGCTCGATCCCGCGACTTGTTAGTTAGAAGTCCAACGTCTCTAAGCACTGGGCAATGAGCCCGTTGCCCTGTCGGTTTTCGATCGGGAATATACAATGGTAGAGGGCGCTCATCGATCGTTCTTACGGAACTCACTCGTTCCGTTGGACTTCCAACTAACAGGTCGCGGGATCGAACACCAGGTGTTTCGCACTTCGGACTTCGGTATGGCTGGCCGAGGACAGCTAACAAGCCAGAAACGGCCATTCCAGTCTCCCTTGTCTTTTTTGGATATTGCTGCCCCAATCTGCGATCAATCCGTGCATTTTTCTGCATAAAATGAAGACTAGACCGGTTATGAGAGAAGATGCGTTGTGTTCAGTCAAGCTGTAGACTTTTAGTGCAACGTGTTATGTCTCTTGTTTCTTATGGACATAATAAACGCTTAAACCTCCCAGGTGAAGTTAAATTTTTTTAAGAAATTGGCAGCCGGACCAAGCGCTGTGGGACTGGGGAAATTTTATGACGGTGGACGCAGGCCTTTCGTTCAGTGTAGATGCCGAACTAATTTGAGCCTCGTTAATTGCTTTCATGCATCTGAAAACCTAAGCATATTTTCTCAACTTCACACAGTTCATTTCTCTTTTCGTGTTTCAGTCCAACCATTTGCCTACCTGTACGATGAAGCAAATGGCATCACAAAAGAATTGGTACACTGTTTGCAGATAACTGTCCAAAATCAGTGTTCCAGCCCACCACAGTGATTATGATCTTGATCGTATATTAGTCCGAAATAGGCCTGCAAATGTAATTTCGTAGAAGTAACTCCGCGTGAAATGCCCATTAAAATTAAAACAACTCAACAGATTGTTACTGTGATCCCAAAGCAAGTACTATTTAACAGCCAATGAACAGGCTGTTGATTTTTAAATCACACCTGCTGAAGGCTGGTTCTGGGTTTGACAAGCCCTTTCATTATGCTGTCTAATATGTGGTGCTCGAGAGAACAGGCCGATAGAAGGCAACATTTAACAAGCCCCGACGTGTTCGGGTCAGCTTATTTTAGTCGAAAATTGTCTCATTTAGTAATGTCTCCGTAGAATATCTGTCCCCAGCGAATGAAAGAACTACAGCATCTCATTGGCTAATCCATTGTTGTCGTTTCGGTTAGGCTCGGTAATATTGCCCCGCCCCCCGAGTGGTGGCTTTACGCCGAAATCGAGGAGTTTAGGTTTAATGTCAGGGTTAGAAGGGTAAGGACTAGAGTCGAGGTTATTGGACTTAGTGTAAGGGCCGAAAATAGGTAACCACTGGAATTTAGCGCAAGGTCACTGGGAGGTTCATATGTTCGTGACCAGCCACCATTTCTAAAGTCTTAAAGTATAATGGTAAGGTCATTCTGACATTAGGAAGTTGACTACTCACGTCTGAGGTCGAAGCTTTGGCAGACAGCAGACGAAACAGGAGTCTGGGCTTTCATTCAGTGGCCGTAATGGGGATATAGGGTAGGCACATACTACCACATACTACGGACTGTATATGCACAGAATGTGAATATTGCTCGGTTATTTCTTGGTGTTAATCAATTTCCGCCTAAGTGCTTTTTAAACGCTGGGATTTACTACAAATTCACGTATCAGTTTTTAAAAAATGATGAAAGCTTATCAAAGTGTCTCGTGTCTGAAAGCGTGCATTTTCAAGTGGTATACAATCGTGATCCGCTGTCCCTGAGTTATGCACTTGAAACGCAGTTCATGCTACTGTCTTCCTATGTCTGGTTATTTATTTCTCCGAGTTAATCAGTTGTTCTCGACAGGAGCTTGCAAGTTCTCGGCATTCCAACGGATGACTGCGTTCGACAACAACATATGAGACGTTTGCTACGACAAGCGGAAACCGCTGCATTCAAAAATTCTACTTCTTTGCATTCGGTACTCAGAAGTGCCTTTGATACCAACGAATTATTCAAAAATTGCCTTCACAGTCATAAAGGTTACCCGCATTCTTTCGAAAATAAGACACCAAACGGAGGCCTACCCTGAGGCAAAAACCTTCATTTGTTTGCCCTAATTTAAATGTCAGGACTTTGTTTAAAATCTCCCATCAACCGATTAAGAGAAAGGGAATAAGAAATTGGCTACTCTGGACTAACTTCAAATGCCCCTGCGGCAAGTCGACTCTATAACGGGAGCCACGGTCGGACCTACGTTATTTTGAATGTTAAGCTGCCTGCATTTGAAATAACCACCGATATGATCTGCTACATAATTGGTCCACTGTCCCCGTATAGTTGTCCAATTTCGGTGAAAAATTGCTTTATTCGGACAGACAGGCGGCCGGCTTTTATGCGGATTCATGTTCCTCATGCACTCGTGAACGCATTTCTGTTTGTTTCGAGCAGATATTTGGTTGCCTAGCAAGCATCGAGCTCATAAAGGCGTCTTCTTTGTTCGAATTCTACAAGAGTGCTCGTCGGTCGTTCCATATCTGAACATGAAAACGCCAAAGACACATGTACGCTTATATAAATTGTTCATACTCAGAAGGCATGAGAGGCTGCGAGGAGACGTTCCGTCAAGGCGGAAAGGCTAAGTAGTACGGTGGGAGGATGAGTGTGGAATCGAATTTCATTCGTTCATGCAAGACAAATTCTTACCACGTTGGCATAAAGTTTTCTATTGATTTTTGTGACGTATGGTTGGCAAAATCCATTTTTCACATCCATTTTGTAGAGAATGACGTCCTCTTTTAATCTTATATACAGAAATCTGCATTTGTGGGAAAACAATTTGATTTTATATATATCTGATTCGACGAGCTACGGAATTCCACTTTCTGTAGAAAAACGATAAAGGCAAGGGGCGATTGAAACGAGGTTTGACGCTGGCTGTATTATGGGCTCTCAGCGGGTTGGACACTGTGGCTTGCCATAAAGTCGCACGTAATCGTCAGATATTTGTGGGATTGGATTCTATGCGAGCTTTATCATTCTTTTGTTAGCTAGCATGTTTCATCTAATTCACGTCTGGACTTTTAACGGAAATTTAAAAGTCACTATAGGGTAACAATCGGGAGACGGCACCCAAAAAATCCATTACCTAGAAAGAATACCTTTACCAGTGGACTCATACACCTTCAGGCTATATCAGAGGTTGCAGGCCTACTTTCACGCACTAGGACTTTCCCCGGCGGCCTAACATGGGCTGGCCGAACGAACATCGCAGGAGGTTACATGGACGATGGTCGCTGTTACCCAACCTTCCCCATCGTTACACACGTACACCTGAATATACGGCAAACATTCGCATCATGGCAGTTTATTACACAATAAAATCACTTTTAAATAGGATAAGTCTGCGCAACATGGAACAGGAACAGTTCCCAGGCATCTGTCAAAGACATGGCATTGAGGCCAAACCAAAGACGATACTGTACTTCGTCTATGGGAGCCCACACAGCTCAACCACATGCAGGGCCTGCCTCGAGGAGTTTCATTTTCAGTCTACTCCAGTATGCCTCAATGGCATTGGTGTGCCGTCCGGTGGTAGGGTCCTTGAAGTTCTTTGAGTGGTTAACAGAGCAATGTAGATAAGCTTCTGAGGGAAGACGATTATACGCCTTCCACTCGTCCGCTACCACTAAACTGCCTTTGGCGACCCATTTTGTAATAACGGAACGGAGAGCGGGCCAACTTCGATCATTCACCTGTTCAAATAAGGCATTCCGTCGGCTAGTATCGTACATCCCGACGAGCCACCACCCATAAAAACCCTATTACCACCTATCCCGTAAGACAGGCTGCTTTGGTTAGGCGGATTTTTTTGGGTGCCATCTGCCGATTGTTACCCACTATAGTCTCATAACGGTCTTATGCCTATTTGTACATCAAACATATTCTAAAGCCTAAATTGTTCCCTGTGAAATCTACTTAACTCTATGCCAGCGTATAGCTACTGCCTTTTCTGTACGACATTTCTGAGGCATACTGCGAGACAAAGAATGCAGTTATTTGACGAACGGCACGATTTGTTGACGTCAAAGATTTTTACGACGGCATCTCGACCGTCATCTGCCGCTACAGAGCATGAATGGCTAATTAGGGCGGCACGGAGAACTTAGATACCGTCATTAATGGCGTCCGACGCATTCGTTCAGACATAGAGTTTGAATTATTTCAGTGCTGATCAGTGTTCGGTACTGAGAAGGCGGTCGCTTAACCTTTTTAACTAACAAGCTGCTCTCAGTATTTAAGGATAGAGTTCTAAAATAAACGCATGCTTTTTGTCTCCCTGCGCTCACCCGCTTCTTATGCCGCTCCTGTTTTTAGCTTTCTAGCGAAAAAGGAGGAACAACAGTTGCGGCTTCTTCAGACAGCCCTGCGGAAGTTGACCGCCCCCTTTAATGAGGTCAAACCCTCTAAGGCGCCCTCAGCCGCGGTCGAGCCGTCAGCGGTGACGCCGCGTACAAGACGACTGAGCGGCCAGCCCTCCGGTCTCTCCAACCCCTGTCCCATTCACGCTCGTCAGACATCTTGTCCAGAGGACATCATCAGCGACCAGGAGCAGACCTCGGAGCTTTCAGGCAACTCAATATGCGCCCTTCACGGCCGCCAGAAATCCCATCATTCAGCAACGACAACAACAACTGCCATACCTCAAACTTCTTTACACCTGACCTCTGTCAGCAGGACCGGTCCGAAGTTCAGTGCATCTACGCGGGCGACAGAGGTAGGTTGGGTGGAAGACCGCAGTCCTTCGACTGCCCTTGTTCGTTGCTACAGTCTGGTGGGGGAGGAATGTCGGGATGGGTTTCAGTTTTGTGGCGGGATTGTCGGAGGTACTTTCCAAAAGCTGGAAAGCAACTTTACTTGAACACGGGCATAAGCACCCCCACCCATATTTCCGTGTCACAGAACCAACTCTAACTCTCTGAAGCTTAACCTTAGCACTAATTTCCCCTGACAGTTAGCACAAGGCCACCTATAATACCGGAGAGGTCCATATTCCCATGTCCTACCATAACCTTTGTGTGCGACTGTGAACGACCGGTGATGTTGATGGAAGAACCCATAGGGTAATGAAGGGCCGATAACTCCCGGGGTAGCATACACTGAGCAGAGTTATTAGGCATTCCATCGCAGTCACCCGGACGAACAAGACGGAACAGGGCCTAGACTGATTCCGAAGGTGTGCTAATAACGGCAATGAGTTTAATAGACAGGAAAACAGTCAATGTGTGAAAAGGGAGGAGTTATATCAGGGGAATGATCCACTTATATAAGAAGGGACACCATCGTGACAATATAACAACCGGTATGGAACGCAGAGCTGTGGGAAACTGCAGAGGGAAGGCTAAGGGAGTACACACGTAAAGGAGGAGAGAGACGAGTTGCGGCGAATGTTGTGCGAGGAGAGCAGGAAGTTGTGAGCGATGAGGCATCGGCTATCTCCACTGACACGCGGTGGCACCATCTTCATCCGGATCCGCGCAAAAAATGCCTTTAATCCGTTCAAACAACTCGGTTCAACTTGTGGTCTTTTAAAATGCACCTTAACTTTCTCCTAGCCCAGATATTTTGAACCATTCATAGTTCTAGACTCCCGTGGCTGGTAATAAAACCGACAGCAAAGTTGGCGACCTGTTTTCCTAACCTTCAACCGGAGGGGAACTAATATCTGAGCACGTGTACCCAGAAAAGGTCCACAAGGTAGAGCATGACTCACTTAAGATGGGCTCGCCCTTCTTTAACAATGAGGCCATTGTTCAGCATTGTCGAATTGTGGGCGTGGTGCAAATGTTTAAATATTAAGGCCCGGACACAACACAGTGAAGAATTCGTAAAATCCGCTTCATCTGCATCTTATTGGAAAAATAGACAAAGACACCGTATGCGATCTCACTCAAAGAACAAGAACCAGATCATCGTGGCGTACTGCGTCTTCACCCTGTAACTAGATGGAGTGCAATCAACTTCTTATCTGCAAAGAAATTGAAAGAACTGCGAAAAACGCTCAACTACTGTTCGCACTGTGAGATGTCTCGATATCCCCATTGTTCCTCGGAGATCGAGTTCCTGATAAGTGTGCTTTTTCGCAAGTAGCTGTAAAAAAATTTAGCGCGAGGACGCAATATGCCATCTTAACATTTATCTGAATGTTTACTTGCCATCGCGCTCTCCTTTTCGCCGTTAGCTTCACCCATAAACTCGTATTACACGATGACCAGGTCTTTGTTCCCTAAACGAGGGTGCATGCGGCGTGCTTGCCGAAAAGTATTGTACAATTGGCCCCGGTACTTGCGAAACCTAAAGAAACGTCTTTCAGAATGCGCTCAGTCGAAAAGGATAACATCGACTTAAGATTTTGCTAATAGAAGCGAAGAGACAAGTACCAGGAAGTAGTCGCGGAGAAGGAGACACGGTCGTTGGAACAAGTGCCTTGTTAGCCTGGCTTTTCGGATTCTCCCTCGAGTCCAACATCAGAGCCAGACTCAGAAAGGGGGTAGTGAATTTCCCAGGAATTGAAATATTTAAAGGATGTAGTTGCTAGGCCGCAACATGCTCACCACAGTTGGCAGCTCTCGAGTGCATTACAGCTCGACTGGCCAAATGTTGAAGTATGCCGTTGCCATGCAGTTGCTATACGCCTGTATGCCAGAAATGCTCTAAAGATGACGAACGAAGTGAAGTAGCCCTCTTCCTGACTCATCATCTGGACCCAACCGACGCCCCAGCTCACAGTCGCTCTGCTGAAACTTATCACTTTGTTCCGCATGGTTTCTTAATGCTTGAACTCTCGTTGCGATGCGGCAGCTTGGGTGGACCCCGCATCCACAGCCAGAAGGCAAAGTGGTAATACGGTTTTTTGTACAGCACCGTGAATTCCCATACTCGTCTGAATTCAGATTATTTTGTATTTCTCATGCACAACTTCGACCGGTATCGGCGAAAACTAGGTCACTGAGGTTTTTCATAGCATTCGTCTGGAAATTATTACTTAGTATAACTTCGGATCCCAAGTAACTAGAGGTTCCTTCTTTATGGTCAGTTTGCTGAAATGTTGCCAGCTGTGGAAGCTCTCTGTTAGGTGTTCTTCTGTAAAGTCTGTCTCAACAATTAAATCGTTATTTGATATCACAGGCACGCGATTGCCCTGATGCCTCAGGACTGGATATCTCGTGCAGAGAATATTCCACCAAACGCCGCAGCCCAAGACCTCGAAATCCCACCCCGGGTGGAGAAGAGAACATCCAAGTCTATAACAGCAGTAGTGGCGGGCCGGTCAAACTACCTCAGAATTCAACAAGGAGTTTCGCCCCCCAGATGAATCCGTACACTTCGTCTGCTCCGCTCCGGAAGAGGCAAGATGAGGGTTCCTGGAAGACTAGTCAAAATGCCTTTGAGGCCTCTGGTTTGTCCATATTTTAATGAAATTTCAATTTTTTAAGTGAATGCAGACGCCCTTCTCATAGGCCACGCACAGAAAAACACAATCCGCTTTGTATCATATCAGCCATTTTTTTATTTCCGCACTGTGTATGATGGTTACGTAAAGGTCTTAAAAGTAGCAGACCGTAAGTATCTATAACTGTGTTGTAGTTAGTCTAGAACGTGATAGGTACTGAGATTTCTGCCATAAACTGAGTGCGGGTGCGTTTAATGGTCCTGCACAATCCCTCACTTTTAAATCACTTTACAGAAAATTTAGTCCATTGCATTCTAGAATATGATGCCGTTCTCTAACCTGCCTAACATCGATGTTTGGGTTTGCGTTTTGTGTCATATGCCGAACAAAATTGATTGCAGCATATTTTTCATTAACATTATAATTTTTATACCACTTTACTAAAAGTAGTCCACAAAATACTGCACTTTTTGACCGGTTTTTGTCATTGACTTAGACATATTTGCATAGTTTTTCTCCTATTTTTTTCTGTAAAACCAACTACATAAAGGTTTACACGGGGTTTGCAGGTCACAGGTTTTGTGACCATTGAACACAGCAAGACATAAAATGAGATATGCATTAACGACCAATTTTAGAAACTATTTAGCCCTTTTCTGAGGAAATTTCAAGTGCTTAAAAGGAAAATTAGAGCTTTTATTAGACGATAAGACCAAAAGGCGCAACTTAAAAAAATGGTAATTGTTGTGTCCCCGCCAGGATTGCTATGAAGCTTTAATGGTTTGATGTTATCAAGTTTCTTGTCAGTGATCGACTGTTTTTGGCATGTCGTTTCGTCAAATGCGAAACAAAAGTACAGTATGAAGACCCTCATTCCCTGAACTCACCAAAGAATGCTGCCTACACAGAGCTTGGTTCGCATAAAAAGAAACAGAGACACTGCCACATTCTCTGGAAAGCTACGTTTATTTACTGAACTGAAAGTCCTTATCCATTGACACTTGCACGAACCGTAAAAGACTAAGGTCTTCCATGAAAAAAACATCTTAACGATAGCGAGCGCATATTTCCTTTCCACTGGCAGGAAATAGCAACGGTTGCGTTTATTGAGTGGACAGTCAGTCGGAATACCTTGGTGACTTTTTGGCTAACAACTTAGAAATGAAAGTAGCTGACAGCTTACTGCTTTCTCGCATAGGTTCATTTGTCTTAGTTAGCAATGAGATGGTCACCTGCGCGCCCTCTCCCACCTTCCGACGCATTGACTTTATCTTGACACCGGGTTCAGGCGAGGTACAGGGAGAGAGTGTGGTGGCTGCTGCGCAAGTCCACTGCCACTGTAAACTTGTTCACACACAAGTCACCGCGATTTTTTTCCGAAATGAATTGCCTCTTCTTCAATCTCATCGCGCTAATCAGTGGCGACGTCGTTAGCCCTTAACAGCATTTACTTTGTTGACTTGTAGCTAGCAAAATATGTGACCAGACACGGAAATATGGACCACCCCCAGTACTACGGGCAACCTAGCGCTAAGTTAGAAAGTAGTTTCTATTCACGCTTCCTGATTGCAACTCTAACCTTAACGCTTACCCAAACCCTAACCTAATCCTAAGCAACTGGCCATCCTAACCCTGGTAATAACCTTAATTCTAACTCTTACCCCATCGTGCATTCGTTATCTTGTGCGAACTCTAATGTTAGTGTGGAATGCCATGTGGTCTGCATCTTGAGGGTTACTGATTGTACATAACAAACTCTGAAGCCGAGATTACTTACTGGGACTGAAACATCGCACCCAATTGGTTTACGTTCTGGTCTCACGTCTTCTCTGTCTGGCGAGTGTTCATTACTGACAGAAATAAGCAAAGACTCTAAAAGGACTGCATCCAACGATGTTTGTCTTCCAGGGGAAATTGTTTGACAGTGTAGAGGAATAAGTACCTCCCTCCGCACAACAGGTGGTTTTTCGCCAAATTTTAGGTAGGTTAAGGTTACTGTTGGGATTATTAATGTTAAGAGAGGGTTAGGGTTTTGAGGGTTATTGTTAGGGTCTGGGTCAAAAGTGGTATAAGAACACTGGAAGAGATGCCCCCTTGGAATTTGGGAAAGACCATCTGTAGTAGGAGGAAGTACTTACTCCTGTGTTCAAAAACTGTTCCTAATCTGCAATTACTCGTGGCTGTACGATCGCTTTTGTAAACTCTGACGTGGCGCTCCCTTGTGCTCCAACCACAATCTAACCGAATGTGTAAGCACTATTGCTGCAGGAGTTTGAATATTCCTGGTCACAGTTGACAGTGCATGTACCCCTGGGACGGAGGCAGAGCTGGGGACTTTTAACCAACGGAAGTTCTCCCGCCATCTCTCTCGCTATAAACGGCTGACAGTAAATAGTACTCTGAGGCGAATTGTCCCAGTCTGCCCTCTCTTTAATAAAAATCCGTCGGATTTGACCAAGTGCCCGCTTTCTATTCAATTTCCAGCTGGACATGAGCGTATGTACTTCCGTTTTAACCGTAGCCTTGGGCTAAATTCGAGGGGTTTAGGACTAACGTTAGGATCAGGGATAGCGCTGGAGTTATAGTCCGGGCTGAGAGGAATAAGGTTGCGATGGAAGTTAGGATACGGCAATAGGTAACCCCTGGCACTCAGCGCAAAGCGACCTGTAATACGGGGATGTATCCAGTTTCCCACTGGGAGGAACGAATATTTCATACGTGTAAGTCTAGTTTCTTCAGCTGTAAACATGCCAAAATAGGCATCTTGGATGGCGATAGCGTGTGTTTCGGTGGCTGGGTTTGATCGCCCCTGAAAGCATCTGTAAAGTGCCCAGAAGGTTTCACTCGATGTCAAAAGCCACATGCGCGCTCAGGGATCAGACATCAGTAGATCGGGTCTCTCAAGGGGGAACATTTTCACATTGGCTCCAGTGGTCATGCTGCGTCCTCCTCCTGTGGCCTTTACGACACTCTCACGCATATAAGATGGGAGTCGACCTCTTTGAAAGCCTGGTACATTCTGCGGGAATCAGATCTTGTGTGTCACGTATAAACGGCCTGTCTAGCTTTATCAGCCACTGCGTCCGAGGCCATTTCCGGCCGTTTTGGTGTTATCTTGCTATCAGAATCAGGTGGGTGGGTGTATGGGAGAGGCTGTGCAAATCTGCCCCACCATAAATTAATTCACGGCTCACATCATGGATGCTGCGTCCGCGCCGTTGCGTATACGGTGGACACCTTGAAGAAGGAGACACGATCGCTGGGACAAGAGCTTTATTAGCCTGACTTTTCGGATTCCCGCTCGAATCCATCATCGGAGACAAAAGTAGATACGTATCTCTTCTATTGATAGTGAACATCCTTGTCTACGATGTTCCAAGTATTTTCAGTAATCAGAAGGTTTTACTGTCCTAGCCGCTGCTTCGGGGTAGAGCCTAATCATCCCCGTCGGTTAGCAAACTGCGGTAGTTAGTCCACACGTCATCAGCTGGGCGAATAAGACGCCTACATTTTTCCAACCAACCTTACAATTTCGACTAAATTTGGAAATCTTTTGTAAGGATTATCAGCTGCTTAAGATCCGTCGTCGTTCAAACTGACTTGCACAAGGTCTTTCGAAATAAGACAAATATGAGTAAACATCGTCTAATTCAAAAGGGCGAATTTTGGTTATTGTACGTCCCTTTGTTCCTCGCGCAGAGAATTTTGTGATGTTCAAATACCATTCGTCTTCAAATTTCAATTTTTGTAAAAAAAATATATTATTTTGGTCCTGGATTTCCCCAACCTATTAGTAACGTCTTCACCACATGGTTTTTAGTAAATAGCTGATGCAAACATAACCAATCCAGCTGAGGTATTCCCATCACTTAAACCCGTGCTAGCAACATTGCAAAACCCATGAAAAATTTACCACCCAAAGGAATTACCTGCATCGTGTTTTAAACCTTACCAAGAGGAAACATGATCACAAGTGAATTCTGGCATGGCAGCCGGTTTCCTCTTGACTGCACATCATCCTTCAAAGTGCATATTGTCTGTTGCAACTGAAAAACTAATCAGTTTTCCGAGAGTGAGTGCACAAAGCACTTTCATTTCTTTTACGTTGCATAATGGCAATAATTGGATTACTAGTGTCGCATATCATTCGTTGGTCGTTTTGTTCTGCTGAACTATGCACAGCGCGACGCATATCTATTGTAATATGGTATTGAAAACGGAGTGGTCATTTTTAAGGAAAATATATCGATGCTCGAAATGCTTTCGGAGGGCAAAAGGTGAAGGATTTTCATGGAGAAATAAAGTTTGAATCTGGTGTACTTTTTAGCAAAATACATCAGACAAAATAATAGTTGTTGCAGTCGTCTTCTGAAAGTAAATGAAAAACATGCATTCCGTGTATGCATTCAACTACAGTCAGTTTCCTGTGCTATCAAATTTTAACCAAAATTTTGAAATGCGTTTTCGGCGAAACAAGGATTACCCTGGTAATTTTCTGACCACGTTCAAACATATCCTTTCTTGTGCTGATTTGGTAACAAGCCATCTCTTCCTCAAATGTAATACTCAAACAAGTGTAATTTTTGGTTTAAAATAGTTTGCAGTCATTGAATTTTTTAAGACCCTGAAATATCCATTCAACGGCGTCATATCGATTCGTTTATTAATGCTGCTTATGAAACATGCTGCCGTTACACATTCATTACAAATTCTTACGAGTCCTCCATGGTTTGTTCCTAACAACTCAGACAGCTTATGATTTTCCTTAGATAGAAAGGATATAGCATGATATTTGAAAACCTCGAAAGTAAATTGGGTTCAAAGTATGTGATACTTGAAACCTGAAGTATAAGATTTCAAAAAAGCATGATTTGCCACCAACTGTATACAAGGAGGGATGCTTTAAGCATGCTTTTTGTTTATGAACATTTGCATTTTAAGGACACCAAAAATCAAGGTAGCAAGTGAATTACCTAAGTAGTCATTTTCATCCTGCGCTGGTATTGCAGGCTGCCGATAAGAAGTACATTTAAAATCCGATATTTTAGCATGATCAAAATATCTCGGGACAATCTCTTTGATAATCGACATTACAACCACGTTTAAAGCATCCTTCAATATCGAAAATGCATTCCAAAATATTGATTATTATGCGACGGAACTGGTCATTGACTGCAATTTCCAGTGTCATTTGCACCAATGACTGGGGAATTTCGAGTCGAAAACTTGTGCTTATGTCCCATATGGCTTATAATCGTACATAACGCACTATCTGGCCACGTATGGAATAATTTTGATTATTCTTTCAGCAGTTTTGTATGTGTACCATATTTGGTCTCTACAATTTAATTCGCTTTCATCTCTAACCGCCAAAATGCGCATTACAGTGATTTTTCGTAGTGAAGTTTACCTATCACTTATACGTGTGAATCTCATTTATTCAAAGCGCACCTGATTCATTCTTCATCGGCAAAAGGCCGAAGACTCCCCGCTCCACCTTCTTCTCCTCCTCCTCAACAACATCCTCAACGGAGACTGTATTCCCCGGAAGCCGACCTTAGTGCGACATACGATCTTGTATCCAACAGCGGACGAACTAGGACAGGTAAGACGCCCCTTCCAGCTGGTTGAGCTTCGTAAGCAGCATCATCTATTGCTGCTTTGTTTTAGGCCACCTTTCCTCCACAAACGCTTGAGGCATCGCTCCTCCCCGATCATCATCAACGGGAGATGTGCGCGCACGATTTCAAGCATCAGCAGCAGCGTACATTTTAGACTTTTATTTCAGAACTTGTAAGATAAGCTGCGATCGCAGTGGCTGATAAGTGTTCATTGTTCGTCCAGGGCACGGGTTCGATGGTGAACAAAGAAAAAGCTCATGGTTTGGGAATTTTGCGACGTTCTGATGCTCAGAGATAACCGCAGAACGGCAAGACCTATCTGCGATTTTGCATCTTAATTCAGCATTTTCATATAAACCGCGGCATTTAGAACTCTGGGGATACTTTTAGCAAGCAAAAAAACTTAGACTCGATTCACGGTGCTTTCACTTTTTATTTCAGACATCAGATATAAATTCTCAGGAGAGCTTGCAGTGTTTCTCATATCAGTCAAATAAAAGAAAATTGTTTGCGGTGAATTTTGTTTGAAGAATGAAACGAGTTGCGGTCTTTATTCGAACGCAGGCAGTCGAAAAATCAATACAGCCAATTCATGAATTAAAATCTGATCATCGTCTCGTCCACGCAAATAGAATTCTCTATCGGATCATCTAAATGGCGCTTATTAGTCTGATTTAACTTAGTATGCACCCTAGAAAATATTCTTATGAAATTATGTAGACATTTAGAGGTTCATAGAATAATACCGTGAGCAGGCAGTGCACTAGAGGACGATAATTTCAGCGGGGGCATAAACGTGTGCATGATTTTCAAAAAAGGTGCATACCTCGGCTGCTGATAGGTTCGGTTTTTAGCCTTTCTTTTGTATTTGATTCACTGGAAATAATGCTGGTAGCCAGGCTCAGCTTTACAGGGGAATGTAGGCCCGGATTCTTCACCGACCAGGTTACGGAGCATGCTTCAATTTATAGTGTGACAACCTGTAATGACAACGGAAAGTGGATAAGTACTGCAGCACTTTTCACATTTTGGAAGACTTTTAGATGAAAGAATCTGTTTCAAAAGAACCCAGTTACCTAATTTTTTCCTCCTAAACACTGTTTAAACCTGCTCCATCGTGCGCAATCCAGACTTGTTTGGGCGGCTGTTTGACCGTGTCTGCGACTGCGCTCTCTCCCACCTCCGGTCTTTTTGACTCTTTTGTGACACGGAGTTCAGGTGGGTGAGGGAGAAGGGAGTGTGGTAGGTGCTGCGTAAGTCTGCCATCACTATAAACCATCTCACCGTCTTTGCCTCCACTTGCCCTTCGGACAAACAGGGGTTATCGTCGTCAACTACTGGTCTCGTTGATTTGGGGGAAATAAAAGGACTTTGCGCTTTCTCAGTCGACTTTATGAAAGCGAAATTTTCCCGTCATTTTGGTGATATTTTTCGAAGTATGCAATTAACGAATAATCTTTTGCAGAAAAAAAAGATTACTGCCTGTTTCCGGTTTTTCGCCGTTTTCAACTGAAATTCGAACTCTGGCTAATTTTGTCTCCAAGCAACGCCCTGGCCACTGCACATTATTGGTCGGACCCCCCGGCTGCAGTAGGCTGCACGATCTCGTTTTCCAGGCAAAACATAAATGCATCTTCGCGTGCCGCGACCCGGACAGATTAGTAGATGCCATGTCCCATATAAAAACGAATGCGTTAAATTATTAAAACTGCCCGAGTAAGTACTACAGATACTGGCAGCCTATTAGTATTTTGATGTAGAACTCACGTTATACTTCCTATTTCTATGAGTCTTGGCGGTAGTTATCAGTAGATTTGTAAAATAAACAAGTTAATTCAAGAAATGGTCGAAAACAAAACTGACAAAACGATAGCTTTCGACTATATTTGTATAACTACTAGTAAATAACAGTCTAAAGGTCATTTAATAAGGTCTATTTCTTTGGCGATGCGAAAATCAATGTTGCCCTGTGCCGCGATGCATTGTGCGGGTAATGCTTTCGTGGCTTGTGTCTCTATTGATTTATTTTTGGCGGGACTTTTGAAGCATCTACTTCAATCACAGCCAATTTGCAGTTGGAAATTGTGGGTATTTTAATAAAATAAGCACTTGGACACGTGAAGCCGTCGAAAAAACGCATGAGAAAAAAAAACAATAAAAAGAGAATAATCAAAGTTTGACCTGAGGAACTGGTTTATCCTACTTTCATAAGGTAAGCGTCAGTCTAAAATACATAAACTCAGATCTAACTGAGTACCAGAGTTGATTAGTCACAGGGAATATTATTTTGTTAATTTTTTTGTTACAGACAAGTTAATTTACCACCGTCATGAGAGCGCACTTGCGATGTGCATCCGTCTTGGTTTATCTCTAGGGGGACTTTCGAAGCCCCTAACTCGCTCCTGCCTCTCACAACTACAATGTTGCAGTGACCAAGCAAGATCCTACTTAGCAGTTGGTCTGCGGAGAGCGTATGAAATGGTTGGATTCACGTCGTTGTGTGCCGCTCACCTGCTGATGTCCATATGCACGTAAAACCGGACTTGGGGCGGTCTTGACCGGATTTGTCGTCGAAGCTGCATGCCCTTTTGACCTTTAGTAGAAGTTACCCTGAGCGGTCCACCTGTTAAGACAGTTTTTTTAACTTTGAGCTTGTCGAAACATGCTACTGCTTATGGCCGTGCGCTCTAAAGGGCACGGAACTTTTTGCAACTTCCCAGAATACGACTTCAACTGGAAACAATTTCACAACTAACCTCGAAATGCTTATGAGTGTATCTTAGTGCGAAAAGGTAGGCAACTAGAAGAATCCTAAATAACCTCTCATTTAGGGCGGTTGTTTGAACCACCTTTGCTAGGACTAGATGTCGTGCACTAACAGCTGGCAGTGACGACAGGCCGTCTCGCCAGGCGAGTGGCCCCCTTTGGGGCTGCTTTTAGCTCCGACGCGGGCTACACGCGCGGGCCTGAGCCTTGTCCGCCAGCGACCAATCAGCGCTTCTTTTGCCAAGCATTTGCTACGACAAGGCTAAGTCACACGCAGGTCAAGCAATCGATTGGTAAGGGGCGTTTAGGTGATTAAAGTTAGCATGAGTAATCGGCCGGAGGACACCTCTTCTCTAGCGAACCAACTCTCGCAACCACTTATCATAGTCTCCATTGGAAAGGAATCAATTCCTGTCTGTTGGTCACTTCTCTTTCGTTATTTCAAGCTCCGAAGGTTTTCTTTGCCTAGGGCTTAATGTTCTTCCTCCTAAATCCCAACCTTCAACATTGCAGCTTCTCTTTTTATAGTTTTTCTAAACAGCCAAGCATCTTGGAGGTCCTAACTCCCAAATGTAAATTTAGAAATCTGCTACCATTTCCACGAGAGGACATCATGAAGCTTACCATTTCTAAATATCCTTTTCTGCAGTCCTCCCTCCTCTTAAACGGGCTAGGCAACTCTTATCTATGTTGATAATAATATACGTTCATTCGATTAAGAATCCATAAATATCTTAACTGTATTACTCCTTTTAGGCCGAAATATTTCGTAGCTTATATGCTGCCTATAAGCAAATGCAATTATTTCTTCAGTGGATAGGTAAGGCTGGCTAGTTTAAGCCGCGATCCTAACAGCTGACTGGAAACATTTTCGTCGCGACACCAGCATCTCGTGTTGACCAAATACCCTTTAGTTCGAAATCTAGGTCATCCAAACCGGAGGCCGATTGTGGTTGACTGAAGATGGTTAGTGAACCACGAATCGCCACCCCAGTCTTTGTCGGCATTTCTTCCGGTACAGTTAGAGATTGTATTCTCCACGCACAAAAATGGCAGCCCCTACGGGGATTTGGGCCTCAACCGAAAACAACTGCATGAATCGTTATCGGGTTCTATGAAGTCTCACGTGTTTCCCTCCTCACTGGCTCCTTTTATTGACAACTTCAGGAGCCCCCCAGATGGCCACTGCTGCGGAAGCTCGACTGTTTGAAGAAGCAAGTTCTGACGAAGGTGACATCTTCGAGGACCTACTGCCTGCAGACATGTGGGATTGTGAGGACGATCCGCTGCAGTCATCCCGATGAGGCACAACCCCTCCGAAGATTACCTCACCAAAGTCCAAATCGATGTGTAGGATTGAGACTGACCAGCTGGGATGAGATGACGCCCTTCCGTCACTCTTTTCACACTTGTTTAATCGAGTCTACGAACGGTTTTCTTTTTTATGAGAAATTACCAAGGCTTCAGTTGGACCATTTCACTCTCTCCCTCTCTCTCACACACACAACACAAAAATAGCAACATCCTTTAGTTGGCATTTTTAATAACTAACTAATTCAATTATTTTCCCTCAGCTGTAGTGCTTTTCCCCTGAAATCTTTAAAAGTCGCCAATTGCTCTCCTTTTTAAGCTTAGGTCATTCGAAAATGCACGCATGAAGCCGAACCCTTCAGTCTATTTAGGTTTTTTATAATTTCAACATTAGACTGACTGGCTCGATTTTCTTTGCCGCATCCTAACTGGTTAAAATGCTTACGGCGTCGACCAACTTTTGTCTGACTAGGGTGGGGTTTGGGGACTTGAATGACATTTTTGTTGCGATTTCGGGAGTTGATACCGAAGTACTTCCAACAAAAGCTAATACTCGGGAAGACTTTTTTACATTTAGCAGATATTCTTTCGGTGAAGAGTTTTTGTTATCATGAAGAGGACGTTCATAGATTTGTTTACAATTGGCAATATTCGTGTCCTCTTACACCTTCAAATTTTAATCCTCAGTACTCGCGAACACTCGTATTACGCGTTAGGTAATAATATGGTAATCACTCGTATCCTTAGCAGGGGGGGGTAAAACACACTTGTGCCTACACAGAGTAAAATTCCGGCTTTGTCAGGGATTATCGTACTGTATTCAGCGGCATTTGTTCAGTTAAGATGAACAGCGGCAAGAGTTTCAGAGGGGTCATCCGATGAGGAAGACAATAACGATTTGACGACTTAATTAACTGAGTACTGGTGAAAATAGGTAGGTCTGCTATACAGTGTCTGGGCAAATACTGAAACAGTAATCGAATCAGACCTTATTAATTCGCTGACATCGCGCTTATCGGTTTTGTGCTGTTTACACTGCTTAGCTTATTTGCTATCGGCCATGTCGTGTGGTAGCGATGTCGGTAATTTCCGTGCGGTAAGTCGGTACGCAGGACGTGGGCAGTAAAACAAGGATATCGGCCGTAAGTAAGACTGCATTTGTATAATTTTATTGAAGAAATATCCTGCGAAGGATGGGCTGAGAGGTGAAGCTACAACGTATAGTTTTCTTAGATGTGAGGCGGTAGTAGTAATAGTAGTAGTAGTTGTTGTAGTAGTATTAGTAGTAGTAATGGTTAAGAAGAAGAAGAAGAAGATGATGATGATGATGATGATGAGGATGATGATGATGATGATGATGATGATGATGATGATGATGATGATGATGATGATGATGATGATGATGATGATGATGATGATGATGATGATGATGATGATGATGATGATGATGATGATGATGATGATGATGATGATGATGATGATGATGATGATGATGATGATGATGATGATGATGATGATGATGATGATGATGATGATGATGATGATGATGATGATGATGATGAAAGAAGACCGAATTAAATGGACAGTCTCGGGGATCACGTTGCCTCTGCTACGCCAGAGGACGAGTGTTTTCGCTTTATTGTCTTTCAAAGTTAGTTAGTAAGAAGGACCCACCTCGATGGCTTTTACGAGTACGAACGAAGGTTTATTAGATAGGCACGATTTGAACCAACAGCAAAAATTGTCAACTTAGGGGAGTTGCTCTTTATCCTACAGTTAATGACAGCACGACCAGTTTTTTCTGGTTCGTGTACTAAACTAATTCTCCCATCCTAGGTTTTTGCAGACTGTCCTGAGCTTCAGATTTTACATATTTGCCCATTTTTGTTGTTCTGATCTGCTAAAGATCTGTCTTCTTTCAATGACATTTTTCGAGCGCAAGACCGGTGATGCGACTGTCGGCAGTACACAAGCTTACCGAAGAGTGGCGTTCTGTTTTCTTTGCTTAAAGAAAATAAACCTATTTGGTTCCCGATTCACATGCTGAAAGTACGAACAAGGATCTATTTAATCCCCAATTGCACCGGATACTTTAACGACAATCTTTGTGTTAGACTTAAAACATGTGGTTAATAACGTGGATTAAGCTAGCATACGCATAACTCTGTTTGGTCTTAAAACAGTCGTCTTATGCAAGTTGATGATAATGACTCCGTCAAAACTCCATAGGGTGCGTTAAACCTTTGGTTAGGGTTTAGTTTCTATGCTACAGCGTGCAGTATTAAATCTGTTAAAAAGAAAAGCATTGTAATAATGTCCATATATATATATTATGATAGTGGGCGCTCACCGATCAGGTTACGGAACATGCTCGTTCCGTTGTGCCTTGGGGCTCATACTTAAACCCTCGCAGGCAGTCGCACAGCGACTAGTGATATATGTTGGAAAG